ATGTACGTTTTAGGATGGTGAGGGTCTGCTTGTCTTCTTCTCGTCCGGTGGTATTGTATTTGTTTTGTGATGTTGTTAAGACAGCTTTCAGTTTTTGTAGGTTTTCGTCCCAGAAGTATGATTTATTTTTAGGCTTAAATATTTTTTGAGTTCTTGGCATAATTTCATCCATCTCTCTTCTTATAATGTTGATAAAATTATTGTATTTTTGTTCCACAGACTGACTCTCATACACTTCTCTCCAGGTTTCTTTACTAAGTCTCCTTTTTATTTCTTCTAAATTTTGAGGTGAGATAGGCCTAATGATTTTTTTTAATGGTTTTGTTAAGAGAGTTTTAAAGTTTTTTATGTTACATACAATAGATTCGTGGTCTGAAAGGTTGTTTTGGCTGGTTTTTGCATTTATTTGGGAAGTATTGAGATTTGAGGCGCATCCGTCTATTGAGTTTTTTGATGTCGCTGTAATTCTAGTATGAGGTGTGTCGATAAAATTTATATTGTGAGATCCTAGTATGTTGATTATGTTCTTAACCTGAGTATCGTCTTTATTCTGCAACTTGAGGTTAAAATCGCCGAGAATAACTATATCTTTGTTTTTACTTGTATGCAGTTGAAGTAAGGTATCTAATAGTTGTATAAACTTATCTATGTTTTCGCTTGGGGAGCGGTATAGGCCTATTATCAGAAGTTTTTTATGTTTGTCTTTTAGTTCTGCTGCTGCAAATTCAGCTATACATTCTTGGCTATTTTTGATGGTATTTACAGATAGAATATTTTGTTTTATGTCATTTTTTGAGAAGATTGCTACTCCTCCCCACTTATGCTTAGTGCGGGAGAACTCTGACGTCAGTGTATAGCCTTCGATGTTTATTTGTTTTATTTGGTCAGAAGTATGGCCATGTTCAGTTATAATTATAAGATCAGGTTTCAGGTTATTAATTTCAATTATTAGTTTTTCGATCTTTTTTTGGAGGCCTCTTTGTATGTTTACGTAGTAGAGTGTCAGTCCGGTTTTTTTGTCTAGGATTTTGGGATTTGATTTGGGTTTTTGAAGTTTGGGTCAGCTTGGAGGGGTTTTTGGTTTTCTTCTGTGTTGGCTTCAGTCGGGTAGTTGTCATGTCCGGGCTTAGTTTTAGGCTGGTTTTCATTTTCGGGTTTTTTTGGATCTGGAACATTGGATCTGGGAAAATTACTAAAACAACATGAATTTTAAATGGAAACAAGTTAGTAGAACTTTATTCTAAAGGAGGCCTCTTCTTTCGAAATAAATTTTTTAGTACATTTTTCTTCTTCCTCCTTAATGGTCAAGGAGAAAATTACTAAAACAGCATGAATTTTAAATGGAAACAAGTTAGTAGAACTTTATTCTAAAGGCCTCTTCTTTAGAAATAAATTTTTTAGTACATTTTTCTTCTTCCTCCTTCATAAATACAAAGTTTCATAATAAATGGTTTAAGAATTAATTTCAAAAATAAAAACCTTGCGTAAAAGATAAAAAAACTACAATTACATGATTTGAAAAAGTTTGAAAAATGTTCGTTCCTGATTTTTCGTTTATATTGGCTCATATTAACCATTTATTGGAGTATAGTACTTTACTCATGGGACACACCAGACACACCCTAATACTATTTTAAGCTGTATTTGTATTTTTTGCCAAAACTGTGAGGGCATTTGTGTTTAAACTACAATCAACGAAAATTTTGTATTTTGTTTAGGATTTTCTCCCTCGGACTCTTAATTTAGTGTTTAAAAATAGTTCAAACATTTCACTGCTTTCTCCGTTATTTCGAAAGCAACGTTCTGCGTACAGCGACCCCACCCTGTTAGTTCGAGCCTCCGCCGCTAGGTAGCACTACCATCGCAGTCGATATTTAACCCGAGAACTAACGAGTTTCATTTAATTTATTTAACTATTTACAAATAAGTAAAAGATATAAATTGTATACTAGACGATTAAGACCACAATAATTTAATCTTAAATAATATTTTTACAGTAAAAATATTACAGTAACATAGTAAAATATACCGCTAAAAACGCCCTCAACTCGAACGCTTGATGACAACAGATGAGCAGCATATATACCCAACCTTTTCAACACTTCTCCGTACTTGCTTCGGCAGTACATATACTAAAATTGGAACGATACAGAGAAGATTAGCATGGCCCCTGCGCAAGGATGACACGCAAAATCGTGAAGCGTTCCACATTTTTTGGCTTTGGTAATTAAGTATTTTAGCTTGATAAAACGCCTAAATAGTAATATTTTTATTACTCAGGGACTGTAGTGACTCCTTTTGACCCGAGGTATAGTTTTGAGCGAGTGGACACTTTTTGCCCTTGGGGTGAACACCGATGGTGGTGAACTATGTTTTCGTCATATTGCATAATTAATTAACAAACTAAGCTAGAAAACAAAATAATTGTTGTTGTGTAAAGATAACCTCTCAAAAAAACTTCCAGCTTATTTTCAATTCTTCTGATGCAAATAGCCAGCTGATTAGTGATTCAATCGTTTCGTCTATTACAATTGTGTTAAGGCCCGTTCACACGGGGCGAGTTTACAAGATACACGCCAGCGTGTAAGCCGGCGAGTTGGCGAGTGTGCTTGTATTCGTTCACACGGAGCTTGTAAACTCGCCCCGTATGAACGGGGCTTTAGTGTAGGGCCTACACATTACAGACTATCGATATGTTGAACTATTTAAAGAACAATAAGCTACAATCGATCCGACAATCGATGCATACTTTCGATACATGCGATTGCTTACAGTCGAAATCTATAAATATAAAATCAAATGTATGTTTGTTTGTATGTATGTATGTTTGTTTGTTTGTTTGTCCTTTATGGACTCCGAAACCGCCACACAGATTGTAATGAAACTTTCAGGCATTATTAAGCATTATTCAAGGATGGTTTTTGTGAAGTTTGGTTCAGATCCGTCAAAAGGGCTCCGCCCCAGTGGCTCTGGAGTTTCCCATGTTAACCTTATGAGTACTCATATTTAAATGGAATTAAAGAATCTTAACAGCTGGTTCAACTAATCAATTTGATTCTGTGATGCTCAATAGCATTAAAAAGTTAATAGGTTTACCAACAGGGTGCTGCACTATTATTTTTTTTTTTTTTATTTATGACAACAGCTAATTTTCAACCAAAAGGTGATGAGCGTAGCGAACGAACTTCAAACTGGAGGCGAGTTAGCGTAGCGAACGAGCTAAGCTGAAGGCAAGTGAGCGCAGCGAACGAGCTCCCACGTAAAGGTGAGTGAGCGTAGCGAACGAACTTCAACCAGGACGTGATTGAGCCATGCGAACGAGCTCATCTTGAAAATGAACGAGCTTTTGACATTAAACCACATTAGGACAGGACGACGTCTGTCGGGCCAGCTAGATTACAATAAAAAACTATTCATAATCAGTAAATATAACATGTGTACAAATCCGTTACATTGCCACCGACTAAAGGACCTCTTATTATGTTATGTTGATTCGTTGACTTATAATCAGCTGGTGTCCGGTAAAACAGTACAGTACAATTATAGCACGTACCGGTAATGAAACCCAATTACATTAAGCAGGCAGCAAAAGCGGGGTTTTAACTAATTTCATGCGTGGACAAGTTTATTAAAATAGTGTAGTGTGGCAGAAAAAGCCTTTAACGAATTTCCCTATAGGGAGGTAGCTATTAGCACAGACAAGGGAAACAAAGAAAACCAACTTTTCTTTCCTTTAGTCAATGCTATTAGTTACCGTAGGGGGCACGGTTGCGAACGCTGAGAACTACACGGTAATACTGTATATGGAAAATTCGCTAAATATAATCCCTTTGTATAACTAGACGTATCTGGGGTTTAGTACTCACCTTCAAATTTGATGGTTGCTGGTTCAATTAGTTCCAAGCCCGATTCATTTTTTAATTTTACTTCTAATAAAGTTCTTCGAAAAATGTAATAACAGAGACTCTATACATCAACAACAAGATTAAATAACTCCTTCGAGTTAAATAATACTACAACCACATCTAACTGTAATGCTTTAGGTTTCTCTGTTGCGAGAAGGCGTTTTGTACTACAGTAACTTTTTAATAAAACAAAATATGTTAACTTGAAATTTTCTTTGTCTATGTTACACTCTGAACAAAAATTTCAACTCTTCTTTCTATTTTTATTGAATAATTTAAATAAAATATATGCTAAAAGACTATCATATTGTTTTATAGTAAAGGGAGAGAATAAGTGACAATAAACTTCATACAAAGAAAGAGCATACCATAGTTGAACAACGAACATAAAATAGAACACTGTGGTTTTTATCTATGAGAGTAAATTGTTAACCTTTTATTTACGTAACTCATACAATTCGATTTGGTATTTTACCCCCTATAGGTACATGGTGAAAATATTTTTTTGTCAACATTTTTAAGATTGAGTTTTGGATCGATCCGTTTTGGGTCCCCTGAACCAAAATAAGTGTTTTTTGAAGTGTGGTCCGAATTTGATGGTATTTGATATGTGGGTGGAATGCATGCTATCTCAAGATGTGTTTTCTCTAATTTTTTTGAAATTTTGATTTTCAATGGTAATTTTTTCATAAAAGCCATATAATGAAATTTTCACAAAGCAGCCTGAACAATTTTGATTAAAATGTAGTACTGTATAGTCCTTTTAACTCCAAACAAAACGGTAGAACCCCAATTACTGTAAATTTACGGGTCAAAGTTATTGTAATTTATGTGGTTTCCCATAAAAGGTTAAAAAAAATGGCTTGACCGATTAAAACAATTTGGTATGTCTAGATCGTATGATTCTAAGCAAAATGGTACAGCCACCCTGCTGTTAAAATTACGGTTCAAAAGTTATTGCAGCTTTTGGGATTTTCCCATAATTATAGTTACTCCCATACCGCTTACTCAAAGGTTGTTGACAAGCTAATGGTAGAGAGTATGTGTCAGATTGCTGATGCCATTTATTTAACTTTTTCCCCTTTTTTTCCTCAGAATGCCACCCAACAATGATGCGCAGGTTGACTCCCTGCTGGGTCCCGTGGACACGGAGGTAGAGAGATCTTGTCCCTTGGCCGCATTACCTGACGAACACTGTAAATCCGACAATAACAACACTCCACCAAAACCAACAACATACCAGCCAAAGATCATCTGGTCCAATGTTGTCTTCATTTCGCTCTTCCATCTCGTAGCTCTCTACACGTTTCTCTTCAAGTTTCTCCTCTTCAGATTCCATATTCTCTCAGTTCTCTGGGGTAAGTGAAATTTTTAGCATTTTGAAGTTTCTAAAAGTAAAAGACGAGGTCTTCCTCCGATGGGTTGTGTAGTGAGGTATTCCTTTTTGGGTAGGACCATGTTTGTGAGACAATATATCAAGTTTATTGATAATTGAAAATCCTAATTGATCTGGTACAAGTTTTGGATTACAAGTAATCAACGTAAAACTAGTTCAACTACTCCTGGATTTTGAAGGTGATTTTACAAGTTTCTAACAGGAAATATTTGAACAGAATTCAGTATTTTAAAAGATTATTTTTTGGTTTTCTCATTTGTCGTTTTCCTTTTGTTCAGTGTTCTCTTTTATTCCCCAACGTTAATTATATGCATAAACTATGCATTATTTTGTACACATTGAGCGATAAGACCTTACAAGGTCTAGAGATAATTTATTTTTAAGTTGAGTTTGTTTTAATAGGGGCAATAACTACTGGTCCCATTTAACTAGACTTTTTAGAGAATTGTCTTATTTGGGGGGGGGGGATGGATAAAAGAGGAGCCAAAAATGCACAAATGCTTTTGTCAACAGATTCAATAATTGTATTTATGACACCAACACTAGTGGACTATTGTGTTTTATTCAAAAGATGAGTAAATGTTGATAGCTTATTTTCTGACTTAATGAGATCAGCTGGTGCTACAGCCAGGACCAATTTAAATCTCAAATGATCAAGTAAAGGGCAGCTTCAGCTTGTCCAGTTTTGAACCATCAAAAAACCTTTGTTATGATTTAACTGGCATCAAATAAGTGTACACTCTATGTTTGAAGGTATTGACATGTTATTTCTGTTGCAGGATTTTTCATAGGCGGTGTGTCAGGGTTTGGCGTGACGGGTGGAGTCCACAGGCTCTGGGCACATAGAGCATACAAGGCTAAGTGGCCTCTCAAAGTTATCTTGCTGGCGTGTTACTCTGTGGCCGGACAGGTCAGTACACTCTGAGTCTTATGCTCCTTTCACACGGTTAAAAACCAGGTAAATAGTTTTAGTATTGTAAAGAAGAAACTGAGGGATTTCACACTGCTGTCACTAAACCAGATGGTTGTCACGCCAAGCCGTGCTTCAGTGGCGCATGTACAGGTTGGCCGAAAAGTCCCTTAAACTAAAGGTAAATTCAATTGTTAATTAAAACCATAGAAATCTATTTTAATCAGAAATTTATTGTGGATTATACCAAGTGAACATCATTTTTAGTCCAAAAAATCGGCATGCATACCTCCATTGTCTCGGCAAATCTTGTCTCGACGCCAAGTTCGTTAGCTAATTCGTTTCAGCATTTCTGGGTGACTCGTGCAAAGGCCGCCCTTACTCTCTACTGGGTGTCGCCACGTTCTAGGGCTGTGGTGGTGGTTGGGAAGGGAGAGTGAGGCTTTATTCTTTCCCCACACTGTTGGCATTACTACTCACGTTCGAATATTTGCTGATCAGTCGTGTTTATAAGTGTAATACGTACTGCAATATTGTTTAAAGGGACTTTTTGGCCACCCTGTAGTTAATGCAAGCTTTCACACTGCATGGTTTTTAAACAAACGGAAGCTCACCAACCAGTATAGCAATGGCTGTTGCAATGTTTATCATTACAATCTGACCAGTCAATTGGGCCCTGTTTGTGTTTGTCTTGGTTTTGTACCCCAGTGCTGAAAAAAAATTCAGTTCATTCTTGTACTGTACCACAAGACCTTCAGTTTTGTGATGTGTCTGATGATGCCAGCATAGCTGGCGAAAGGCCTCATAAAAATTAAAAATTCAGAAATATTGGCAAAGTTGTTATTTCAAATTAGTACCTCTTGCTTTGCTGGATACTTACCAACGCACATGCCTAAAGTACCTTTTACAAGGTGAACATAAGGTAAGCTCAAAGTTAAAAGACGCCACTAACATTTTTTACATAAAAAAGAGAGAATAGGAGATTGATAAGCTATTGACTTTATCTTTAGGTATAGCGTAGACTTATAGACTTCTTGCGTTTCTTCCATGTTTAAATAAATGGTTTAAACATCATAAACCCACTATCAAAAACAATTAAATTTAAAATAAGAACCTAATTTTATTTCATAGTGATTGGAAATCCTGTTATATACTTGTAGAGGTAACTAGCCCATGTTATGCAACTCTGTGATGGATGGTTTGTTCCACAGAACACAGTGTTTGACTGGGTGAGAGATCACAGAGTTCATCACAAGTTCTCCGAGACTGATGCAGACCCTCACAACAGCAACCGAGGTTTCTTCTTCGCCCATGTCGGCTGGCTCATGCAGAAGAAACATCCAGAGGTAAGGAGGAGCTACAAGTATTGTAAATGTCTGAAGGTCCATTCAGAGTAAAATATTCTGTGGGCAAATGATTTTATTGTTGTGTTTTGTGGAGATTTCACCACAATCTGCTTATAGAATAGTGTTTTTCCAGAACAGGATTAATATGAGTAAAATACTCATACGGGTAAATACCTCATTCTAATACAGATTTCTCCTGCTTGTATCTGAATCGCAAAACACACATAAGTGCTGAGAAAAAGTGAGGTTCATGGTAACAAACAAAAATAATTCAACTGACAAAATTAAATCGACAGGGAAGAATCAAACAGGAGAACCAAAGGATCTGTTTCAACCACCAGATTGGCTGCTAAGCCATAAAGAAGACATATTCAATCGGCTGGATGGAAAAGAAAGGGGATAGAGCTATAGTAAAAACTTAATTAACTTAAGAGGAAGAAAACCTCTTAATGCCCAAATAATAGGTCGAAGTAGCCAGAGTTATAAAAATTTTACAAGCTGATGAGGAAGAAGCTATAAATAATTGTAAGAAGTGAAGAGAGTGAAATATAAAAATAATAATAGATGTAACTCTTGAGTGATCCAGATAAAGTTATGCGACAATGGTCTCAATACTTTCAACTCATTTTCAAGCAGGAACCAATATGTAAACCCTAATTCCTCTTCATTGTTGTCACATATGAACACACAGACACAAAAACATTTTTAAACGCGACGCAGATCTAGCCACATTATAGTACTTGTGTGAACTTGTAATTTTTGTGTGTGTTTATTACAGTTTTCATTAATAATTTATTATCATGTGTAATAATTATTTTTGGAAACATTCGTGAAACTTATATTTAATTATGTTGAAAGGTCCTGAGAAGAGGAATGCAGGTAGACATGAGTGACATACTTCAGGACCCTCTAATATCCTTCCACACCAGGTTAGTACTTTGTCTGATAAAGCGTTAGATAGAACTGTATATCATATATGTAAACAAATATTTTTACTGAAAAACTTGACTGATTAATTTAGTACAATAATGGTACAATCGTACAATATTCAGAACAATTATTTGTTCCTTCAAGAAGAAAAACACATGAAGAACAATTATCTACACACATATGGTTGTATATTTATTTATACCATGTTAAAAAAAGTATTATCCGTTTGATTTTATAACAGCCGTACCAACACTACATACATCGCTACAGAACACTGGTTTGCAAGAGACACAGATACATTACACTATTGACTTATTTGACTTAGTTTCTTTCTTCCCGAGGATGTAGGGCTGCAACAAAAGCCTTCCACCACACTTGATTTATCTGAGCCATCCTCTTTACTTCGTCCAAGCTCTTGCCTTCATTTTGATTTCTTTCTGTTCAAATCTTCTCCAAGTAATATTTGATCTCTCCTTCTATTTCTTTGAGGGTTCCAGTCAAGGGCTTGTTTCAAATTTTTGTCATTTGGTCTGCTTAGGGTGATATTGCCAACCCAGCTAAACTTACTTGTACATTCCATTGTCACTGCAAAATAAATTAAAGTTGCTGCATTCCCAAGAAACTGCACTGCAATGGAGCATTGGGAAATATTTTCTAATTTTTCAGACACACTAAATTGAATGCTATATAACTGCTATGAATTTTTGCTTCAGAGCAAACTTTGATGAAAGTTACTCTTTGTATTTCATACTATGCGCAACAATATTGTGGACTTGTTCGTTCAGTTCAATCCTGAATGAACGATATTGTTCATTCAGTTCGAAGGCTTTAAAGTATCGCCGGTCATTTAGCTCTTTCACTGTTGCTAGCGGCTATCTGTTTTACGTCTTATCTTTATTATTTTTCCTGTCACTTCAAGACTGAATGAAAACAACAACCTTTGCGACTTGCGCTACACTATTTATTAATGAGAATGTATTGAAAAATAAGGGATTGATCATATTTATACCTACTCACTTTTAGAACCAGCACAATGATTCACTTAACTTCAATAATATTTTTGAGTTAACACTATCTTAAGTTGGTTTTTACGTTTTCCAGACATTTCACCATTATCAAGCTGCTGTTGTGTTTCGTGTTCCCCATCCTAGTACCAGTCTACTGCTGGGGTGAGACGTGGACGAACAGTATCCTCGGCATGAGCTTCCTACGCTACATGCTCGGCCTTAACTTCACCTGGTTGGTCAACAGTGCAGCACACATCTACGGGTACAAGCCCTATGACAAGTGAGTCAACATAGTCTAGAGAAAAACTGAGAAACAATAGTGTTGGGATGGATTTAAAAATCTGATCTCTTTTCAATTATCAATGATGGACAGATAGATGCCAGATGGATAGATTTTTTCTGACATTAAACATAACACATGAAATAGATTTCAACATTTTGCAAGCAGAATAAGTTACGCTACCTACCTTCTTAAGGGAAGCTAGATATCGGAAGAAGAAAATCATAAATGATAGCATAGATTGATATGCAAATCAAATGTCTTTATTGGAAGAATACAATATCGCAAATTTGAGCTCAAAATATCAACTAAGTAAAAAGGCACAATATTTAAAAATTTAAATTGGAGCAGGTCCAATGGAAGGTATGGGGGTTTAGTGAGTGGGAAAAAATTTTGCGCCGTTCCAGCCAAACCTCGCATGCGGGGTTGGTTCGGCAGATTGGCCACAACCTAAACCCCAACTCTCACTTGTTAGCTGCGGAGAGCTACCTTCTGCCACTGGGTGTTGGTCCACCTACAGAACCAAGTGAGGGGGGCCCTAGACTAAGGTGTAATGCGATCCGTGCCAAGAGTCTTGTGGCACTGGGGGCCTAATATTCAGTGTCTTAACGGAGCCTTCTGGGAACCAGGGGTAACCCAGTCGTACGCACCCCTTACCTCTCTAATCGGGTAACTGGGGAGGTGGACTTAAATACCCGGTATTCGTGAGAACAATGTAGACAATCTGACCCAAATGGAGGAGGAAGGTCTACTGAAATCTGACGATGACGACAAGCTCGCTGAAACCGGAAAGGAACAAAAAACGACTTTCCACGGGCGAGTTGTAAAGATGGAGGATAGCGGATGCTTTAGCCAAAGACGAAAAGGTGCTATCCAGAAGTGAGAGGAGGCTGGTGTGGGCTGCCAAGCACCCTAACTCTGCTGCCTGCAAAGCCAGTTCCTCCGGGAACTAGGATGCTGGGAAAAAGCAGAGCAAGGGTGGTACCCCCAAAGCTGACTCTAATGAAGCCTCCAGGAAGAAAGGTGGCGGCTGTGCTGACGCAGCCACAAAGGATTGGCTGGTCAAGCAAGTTCAGGAGCTGAGTCCATTCAGGGAAATCTCGCTACGGCTTGCCCCAGCCAGAGACCTTGTGAAAGCTGTGAAGGTATATTTATGTGCCCAGCCCTACAAGGTCTGCGTATGAGATCTCTCGTACGAAAAACGACTTTCCAGGGGTGAGTTGCAAAGACGGAGGATAGCGGATGCTTTAGCCAAAGGCGAAAAGGTGCTATCCAGAAGTGAGAGGAGGCTGGTGTGGGCTGCCAAGCACCCTAACTCTGCTGCCTGCAAAGCCAGTTCCTCCGGGAACTAGGATGCTGGGAAAAAGCAGGGCAAGGGTGGTACCCCCAAGGCTGACTCTAATGAGGCCTTCAGGAAGAATGGTGGAGGCTGTGCTGACGCAGCCACAAAGGATTAGCTGGTCAAGCAAGTTCAGGAGCTGAGTCCTTTCAGGGAAATCTCGCTACGGCTTGCCCCAGCCAGAGACCTTGTGAAAGCTGTGAAGGTATATTTATGTGCCCAGCCCTACAAGGTCTGCGTATGAGATCCCTTGGCCTATTGATGGGAGATCAAAGGGAAGAACAGGTTACCATAGTCAAACGGCTCTCACGGTTCACCAAGGACCTGGGATTTGACGGAGAATGAGGACCTGTGAACGAGGGTGCACAATAAGCTGTTCTAGCTGCGATGCAATCCCATGGTAACTTGTAAGCCTGGCCCTCTGTTAAAAAAAAAGGTCCAAGATAATTGTGAACGGCTACCATATTTTACTCAGTAGTCAGTTTGAGTTCAGATTTGCGGCATTGTATTCTACTAGTAAAGAACTTTAATATCATGTGCACATCAACCTATGCTTACGTTTAAGATTTTCTTCTGACTCCTATTGGGCCATCCCCCTGAGGTGGTATAGTGTATCACTGAATAATGTGTTCAAATAATTTTTTGGTCCAGTAACTGTGTACAGAGTGTTTGTAACTCTATCTTCATTATTTTTAAACATATTTAACTGTCCCAAGACTTTATTCTACCTTTTATAGAAAGTTCTCCTTGCCTCCTTTATTCTTTCTTATTTTTTTCCTAGGAAAACTACTATGTCAATGTCAAGATTTGAATCAGGATCTTAAAGATCTTGCATTAGTCATACTGACAATCAAAAATCACTAATGTACTATACACTATATTAGTATATTGGTGTGGGCTACCACTAAAACTTAATAAATCATTTTCTCTATTCACTAAGAAAAAATCTTTATGTTTCATGTTTTGCAGGAGAATCCGTCCCGCACAGAACTTGACGGTTTCGATCGTAGCGATGGGAGAAGGATGGCATAACTACCACCATGTGTTCCCATGGGACTACAAGGCGGCCGAGCTCGGCAACTACAAGTTCAACCTGACGACCGCGCTCATCGACATGTTCGCTAAGATCGGCTGGGCATACGACCTCAAGTCAGCTTCGCCCTCGCTCGTGTCAACAATGGTTAGTAAACACGGGGATGGATCATATGAGGACCACGGCCACATACACCAACATTGACAGAATGTTGGCGAATTTAAATCTTTCAGGGATTGTAGATAAACAGAAAGTTGCACAGGAATGTCAAATTTTATTATATTTTGAAATTCTTTACATTTGGTATTTATATTGAAGTTCTATCTAATAACATAGGGCCAATGAAATTCACTTTTAAAATATTTATTTAAAATTCCATACCATATAAGGACCATAATGACCTCTCTAGAGGTCAAAATGACCATAAGGACATTAGTTATCCTAGCTTTGAAAACATTTAAAATTTAGAAAAAGTATACAGTATTTTAGTTTGTAGAGCACATTTTGCACTTGTTACTAGATGTTACACGAGTAGTTTTTTAGATACGGGTTAATTTTTAAATATTAATCAGCAATAAATGTTTTCTCACATTCTTAAGTAAATCATACAGCTTTTTAAAGTAGCGATTTAAATAGAAGCTTATAAGGGGAGGTTTTCTTAAAACAAAAGCTAATTAAAGAAATTACACTAAGAACTTTTCATCCTCATATTGTAGTTTTTGTCAAATTTTTTCATCATAAGTTGTTTTGTTAGCTTTAGCATTTTATTGTTAAGTTTTGTTTGTATATATTGAATAAATTGTATACACTTACTTTTAAATGGTGTTTTCTCCTAGTTTTACTTCATTCCTCAATATTACTCCGTGAGTTCATTAATACTGTAGAATATATTTCTCACTTCAATCCATGAAAGTGTCTTGATTGCTCAGTTAGCGACATCACTTAACACTTTCATAGAAGAACAGATCCACAAAACAACTATATGAACGCTATATTGATAGGTTGTCATAGGTTTCACCATTTTTAGCTAAACTAAAGATACATTTAATCCTTTTTAAATTACATATCTTATTAAATGTGTTATTACCAGCCTCGGCAGACGTCTTTCTACATCTTCGGAAGATGTCCCTGACGTAGCTCACTTAATTAATCTATGACAAATCAAAGTTTAGGTTTAAAGCCCCTTTTATGCATCTGCGGCAGCCGCAGATGACTGCAATTCTGTAATTAGATTGACTCATATGGGTGCTCACTGCGGTGCAGCCTGTACAATAGTTGCGGCCCACAAGTCCAGTGCGGCAGACCTATAGGAAACGCAGTTTTTCTTTGCGGCTGTAGGTACATTGAGTCTTATGGGAGCTTTTAATGCACTGCAGCGCTGGTAGCAACCGCTGTCAGTGCTACCAACCCTCCCCAGTTACTTGCACTGACGGAACTGACTAGTGAAATTAGTTTTGGCAGCACTTTTTTCTCCAGAGTTGATATAAAAAACCTGCGGCGCCGCAAGTTCCAAACCGCATGTGAATTTCGCAGCTGCATGTTTTTAAATATAAAGACCTTAGACAGACTCCTTTCAGCATGACACCTTTCAAAGTTTCGTTTTCATTCTTGTGGTGATATATCACAGCGCAAGAGTTGTGAAAGTTATAATTTTTTTATCACTCCCTGTATGTAACACTGGTTACTCATGATTTACACACTCAATGTTCACAACTTTATCTTTGCTAAGGTCATGAAAGTCTGTTTATCAATATCATGCTTCCTCTACGTGCCAATACGGCACTGACCATTATTAGTGACATTTAAAATTTGTTTGAATACAAATCTGTTTTGGCAAACGAAAATAAAAACAATGTACGTCAATCAAACTTACGGACTTTGAGGTATGGAGGGGAGGGTCAGCTAGAAGATACTGCATACCAAAGTCGAACTTCAAAGTCTTATGTTTATCATTAGTTCATGACCTGCCAATTGCCACACCTCCATATTCTGGAGGTGAGATGACATGATGCTCATCACGTACGCACATAGAACAGTGGAACTTTGGTAATTTGAAATTGTGTTATCCAAAACTGAAGTAGAATAGTTTTAGGGGTGAAAAACCAAGAATGAGCAGTAAAAATGTGTAAGAGTGTGCATTGACATTTTTTATATACTAGGGTAGAAATCCCACCTATATGTAATTCAGTTAATTTGTGTTTTTACCAGGAAAGTTTTGGGGTAGTTTTGATTTTTTCCATTTCTTATGTATTTTGGGGTGCTGAATCCGAATCTGAGGTTTGCCAACAAAAGTTCTTGACGCAACATTGACAAAAATGAGAAAAATATGGAAAAAATTATATTTTTTGTAATATTTAGCTTATAACTAAAAAACTATCAACTTTTTGTTATTAGTCTATATTATAAAAATTAAAGAACACAAAATTTGCTACAAAATGCACCCCTAATGTGGTAATCTCCGATGAACCGTTTAGGCTCCAGAGCTATTTGAAAATTGGAACATTTTGTGTTAGTTTTTAAATTTCTCCAATTATTCTGTCAATGACATATATTCATTGTATATGCCCAGGCAAAGGTCTTATATAAATCCAAAGTGTTAAAATTGATTAATTTTGTGTTACTGAACCGTTGACTTTTTATTTAGTATACAGAAAAGTTACACGAACTGTTGCCGTTTAAATTATCCTCACTCAGAGGGTTGTAATGAGGCAGGTTCTGGCAAACGTTTCGATGCATTATTTGTGAGCATTCTAGCTTGTTCATCTGGGCAATTAAAAAAAGGTTAAAAGTAAAAAAAATTACACATAATAATAAGTGATACCAAAATCAAAACTATCAAAATTAAATAACACCAATCTATTAATCATGTAATATCTTATGCACCTGATGACGTGATATTAAGTTATACGTAAATAATAAAATGTTATGTAGGCATATACTGTTGCTAAGCATTTACATTGTGTGTAGATTTGATAGATTGTAGGTCCTAGGGTGTAGGGCATAGGCCTACATGAGAGTGGTAAGGGTTAATTGACTTAAGATAGTCAATACAAATTTTGGCTAGAAAACTAAATCCAACGTTGCCTCACTGCCCCCAACTCAAGCAGCTTTGTGGACATAACTCGCTTAGAGTTTACATTTACATTCGGGTGAATGAATGGGGGTGAAAAAATTAGTATTGGCCTATGGTAACAGTGCCAATCACTCTAAGCCATGCATCGGTCTTGAAATTTTACACAGAAAATTTTATAATGGGTGGGTGCCAATACGATTGAGGATGTACAATGGACTGTGATGCTAGAGTCTAAGTAAGTAAGAAAGTAAGTATAGTACCAAACGCACATTCCTTTATTTATTAACTTGTTAAATCTACACAAAATATAAATGCTTAGCAACAGTATATGCCTACATAACATTTTATTATTTACGTATATATCTAAATATCACGTCATCAGGTGCATACGATATTACATGATTAATAGATTGGTGTTATTTAATTTTGATAGTTTTGATTTTGGTATCACTTATAATTATGTGTAATTTTTTTAACTTTTAACCTTTTTTTAATTGCCCAGATGAACAAGCTAGAATGCTCACAAATAATGCATTGAAACGTTTGCCAGAACCTGCCTCATTACAACCCTCTGAGCGAGGATAATTTAAACGGCAACAGTTCGTGTAACTTTTCTGTACACTAAATAAAAAGTCAACGGTTCAGTAACACAAAATTAATCAATTTTAACACTTTGGATTTATATAAGACCTTTGCCTGGGCATATACAATGAATATATGTCATTGACAGAATAATTGGAGAAATTTAAAAACTAACACAAAATGTTCCAATTTTCAAATAGCTCTGGAGCCTAAACGGTTCATCGGAGATTACCACATTAGGGGTGCATTTTGTAGCAAATTTTGTGTACTTTAATTTTTATAATGTAGACTAATAACAAAAAGTTGATAGTTTTTGAGTTATAAGCTAAATATTACAAAAAATATAATTTTTCCCATATTTTTTCATTTTTGTCAATGTTGCGTCAAGAATTTTTGTTGGCAAACCTCAGAATCGGATTCAGAACCCCAAAATACATAAGAAATGGAAAAAAATCAAAACTACCCCAAAACTTCCTCGCTATGAATAAATTTAAATACAAATTTACTGGATTATATGGATTAGCTGTAACTGATTTATTATATGCAAATAGAACATTGGATGATACCATGACATGACAGGTCAAAATTATATTTTTATGATTTTTTAAATGGCAGTGAGTGGTCATTTTAGGTTTGCTTAGTTAAAAATCGATGCACACAACAAAACATAAGTAATCAACAACAGCACACTCTACTGGTTGTTCAATTAAACATCAATTTTTATTTTAAAACTCTAAAACTTTTTACATGGGAATGGAATGTCTCCTACTCCCCTTGGTATGTATAAGAAGATATTACGACTGTACACAGAATAGACTTCTCATGTAATGTAAAAATTTGAAGCAAAAAAACATGGACAAATCTGTTGACATGGTCACCAACTTTTATATCAAATGGGAAGTCTATTCTGTGTATAGTCAATGATATTACACATAAAAATAAAAGTATGGTGCTCAATGAGACAGAAAATGGGTGATGAACAAAACAGCAGAACTATTTTCCGGTTCAAAACTATTTTTGGTTTATACATCAGTCAATTTTTTGGTCGATGAGAAAAGCTCTCAACTTTACCGTAATGCCTCGGAAACAAAATATTCTCTGTCAAAGGGGGAATATTGTTTCTCATAGCCTACATCAAGTGGAGAATCCTGTGAATTTGTCTTCATATGTTTCACCTTCAATCTTGTCTCCATTTATAGTTCTTTCAGCTATCATCTGCTCATCGTTTATAATTGTGTAATGGTCGTCAGCTGGTTCGCCGGAAGACTGCCCCCAGGAAAACTACCCCCCAAGCAGGTTCCTACGTCATGTTGATGTCAGGGATCGGGGGAGGGCGGCAGTTTTTTAGTCACGGACACTCAAGTTTCGTTGTTATACTGTTCTAAACTGACCAAACAACCTAATAACTAACATTTCAAAATTCTGTATGATATTCCCCATTCCCACATGCCTTTTCTTTTATCAAATGGAATTTTGATATAGGCTAGACAGTCAAATTTATAGACTGTCAGCTCCAGCTGTGCTGCGGTTACCATAGATTCTGGCGCTCACCGCTGGGAGCGCCATGTAGTTGTGCACTACGTAACTACACGGCGCTCCCAGCAGTGTGCCCCAGAACCTATGGTAACCGCAGCACGCCTGACAGTCTATTTGATTCCTTTTGTCTATGGTTATACACACATCAAATTAATGGTCTTTATTAGTACTGTAGAATACAATGCCTCATATTTGAGCTCAGAAGAACAACTGAATTGAAAACTACAGCCATTCAAAGATTTAAGATTCCAAATTCAAGAAATCTTATTCTTAATTTTGAGAAATTGATAAAGACCGTTGTTCGTTTAAGTTTAGGTTTGGTTTGCGGCATTGGATTCACTAGTTAACACGTTTAATTGATGTGCATATCAACCTATACTTACATTTAAGATTTTCTTCTGACTCCTGGTTGGCCGTCCCCCTGAGGAGGTATAGGGCAGAGCTGAGTAGTAAAATAGATTATAATGACCAGTGCAGCTTAATTCCAAGTTTTTTGTTTTATTTTTATTACTTTTTAAAAATATCATCTGCCGCATGACTTTTTCCTACCTGAAT